TGGCTCCCGCAGCAGGGGGCGGGGGCGAGGGGTGCAAGACACGACCCTGCCAGCTGCCCTAAGGAAACCTGCTGCTCCCTCCCCAACCCAGCTGATCATCAGTGACCGAATTCTTTTTAATGGAGAAGTAACTCTGGAGTCGCTGAACGCATGCAGAGGTGAGCGGGCTGATACGGCACGCTGGTGGGACGCAGCTGCTAGGATTGGCCTGTACACGGCAGGCGTTAAAGCATTGCTGCGACAGCACTTTAGGTACCCTCCCCAGCAGCGCTTTAGGGTTAGGTTCCCTCCTCCTCCCAGCCATTTCAAAAGAGCCCTCCCCCTTGCCTACCAGCAGCAGGTCTGCCGGGCATCCTGCAAATCGGTAGAGCAGTGAGGCTGCCGTTCCCAACCGCTGCAGTTCGTGGGCTTTTGGCCACTGTTGCCATGAAGGGCTGGTTGAGGAAGCCTAGTCCTCTAACCCTACCCCTTCTGCCCAAGGCCCTGCTTCTGCCAACAACCCATAGCCACCTTGCCCAGGACCCCAGCATACCAGTAAGGGCACAGTGATTTATTTTTACCTCTTCATTGAAGATGAATGTTTAATCAAAGCATATGTTGTGCACACAAATCACAGAATCTCTTCAATACCAGCACCAGCCAGCTCTGATTTTCTGACAAGTGTAGGGGAAGGGAAAAGGGCACGTGTCAGCCTAATAAAAGCAAGACTATGTTGTAAAGGTACAGTGTCGTCTAGGAAACTGCCAGCACTTATACTACTTCACTTTTTGTCCTTTTGTGAGTAGTTTTATTAAATGTGTGCATTATAATCAGCCTCACTTTTGTAAAGACAAAGCAACAAAATTCACCTTCCAGCTCATACAAAAACAGTCTTTGGACACCAACTCATTTTTAATACTGCTACTTAAGTTACCCAGTGTCATTCAGGCATATAGTGATAGAGAAGTCTTAAAATTATACCTTTTAGAAAAAGCTAACACTGAGGATGTTAAATAGCAGTTATCTAACCAACTGGTCCCCACTCAAGCCAGCTTGTAGAACCATCCCCTGCTGCAGCTCTGCATTTTAAAATGTAGTAAGAGCTATCGAGCTCTTACTACATTTAAAAATGCAGAGCTGCAGTGGCCCGGACCAGCATGAGTAGGGAATGCTCACTCCTGGCTTGCTAATTCCAGTAGTCCCTCTTCATGGGGGAGTCCAGCTCCCCACTGGGATGCCCATGGACAGAGACTGCTTCTCATCAGCCTCCCCTACTGCCTTAATCAGAGGCAGCAGGGAGGCACTGCAGAGTGTGCGCTGAGGGGGAAAACAAGTTTAAGCCAGCTTTCCCCAGCCCTGGCTTTTGTTGCTGCCTCAGAGGCAGTGAGGGGGCAGAAAGGAATGGGTGGGGAAGCGAGTAGTTGATATTCCAGTTGGCTACCCAGTAAGCTTATACTAATTGGATAGTTGACTAGTCATTAACATCCCTAACACTCAAATCACACATTAATCCCTGAAAAAGTTTATAAAGCATCAGAAGTTTTAGAACTCTCCAGAAAAATGTCTGCAGATTACCTTAAGAATTGTAAGGCCTTTTTTCATAGAATTGTATGGCTGGATGGGACCGTGAAAGTCATCTATTCTAGCCCCTTGCATTCATGGCAAGATTAAGTATTATCTAGACAATCACTGAGAAGTGTTTATTTCCAGTGAGATTCTACAACCTCTGTAAACAATTCATGTAGTTGTAAAATGATTACCGAAATATTGCCTGAAATATTGAGATTTATATCCAGAATGAGTCAAGACAGTGAACTTCCAATGAAGCCCTTTATTCAGTTAAGTAACCAGAAGATGAAAACATTCCTATTCACCCCGCTTCTCCTCTGGAGGTGGTTCATACTGAGATAGCTGTGGAATTAAAAAGAATGGACTGTTAGCAACAGAATGTTAACTGTCTTCAGGGTTTACCTCAATAGCAGAGAATTTTAGAGCAAGCTTTATTCTGGAAAAATCTCATTTGCTACTACATATTTAGGTTGACTTATTTTCAAATGCTACAGATGCCCAGTAAACTTGTTTAAAATGGGGGTGGGGTGCAAGGCAGGATTTTCTAAAGTGACTTATGAAGCCAGGAGGTTGCAAGCACACAAGACTTAAATATTTGACAGGTTTTCCATGGACAGATTTCTTACTTCAGACCAGTGTTACATTGTGATTACCAAATACTAGCTATTCTTGAGCAAGTACTGGACAGAATAAGTGTTCTACATTCTTGCATGCTGTCCTGAAATATACTGGAATAAAATGGTCTGCCATCACTAGAATGGGGATTGGCTATTCATAAGACAATTACAAGGTCTCTTATATTCCAAGGTATATCTGATACAGAGACAGCAAGGGGGGGGAAATGCAAGTAGCTGAAAAAAGTTAACCAGTAAGCCTAGGCTTATCCGTTAATCATGTACTCGGCTACTTGTTTATATCCATAACAAAGGCCTATGGCAGGGGTGGGCAAAAGGGCCTCTGTAGGGTTGATCCAGCCTGCCAACACCCTGCTACTTCCCTACCCCCAGGCCAATCAGGGCCTGGGGACGGAGACCCCATGAAGTCTCCTCCCCTACCAACGGTATGCTGTGCTTAGAGCCAACCACCAGGATTGACTAAGCACCAGGACAGGGAGCAAGAGACCAGGGCAAGGAGCTGTTCAGAACAGCTGGTGGTTCTCTCTAGAGGTGGGCAGGGGCAAAGACTTCACATGCTCCCCTACCCCTAGGCCAATCAAGGAAGCACACAAGTGTTCTGGCCCCACCTTTTCTGTCCAAAGCCCTGCCCCTTCCGGGACAGCCTGGAACCACTTCAAAAATTTCCGAAGTGGCCTCCCATCTAAAATTATTGCCCACTATAGACCTAAGAGAATAGGTGCACAGGACAAGATAGATGAAACAAGAAAAGAAGAGGTGAAGTACATAAACAAGAGATGCAAGGAGGAGGAGGAAAGGAGAAACGGAGAAGAGAAAGTTAATGAGAAAAAATTCAGACAGAAAGGAGAGAAAAGTAAATTAGAGCAGAATAACTGGTGGTCCTAATGGTACTCTCCATTATCTCTGGTATCTCCCAGCAAACTTGATTACTGCCCAAGGGCAAACTCTCCCACCTTTTCAGAGTTGTGGCATACAGCCCAAACCTTTGTAATTGTCCCACACATTAAGATATAGTTCAGCCCTTACTACCAAATGAGTTTCATCAGACCTCAGATCACTTTCTTAGGAAAGTCCCCCCTTCTGCTCAAGTCAGATTACTCTCATTTTAAGCCAACTGACCAAAAAAAAATCCCACATGATGCAATTAATACATCCATGCTCCCCACAAAACCCATCTTTTTCCCCCATTCAAAGAAGCATTTCTATTTTAAGCCAAGCCAGGACCACTTAGATAAGCATGACAGCTTGACTAAGCAGAATGTTCGAGTAAAAAAATTAGCCTTTGTGCTGTACAAATGGATACAAGGGTGATTAAGCAGATACAGTGTACCTGAACTTTCAGAAAGCCTTTGACAAGGCCCCTGACCAAAGGCTCTTAAGCAAACTAAACAGCCATGGGACAAGAGGAAAAGTCCTCTAATGGATCAGCAACTGGTTAAAATAAAGGGTATAGCCAAGCTACCAGTTTTCAGAATAGAGTGAGATAAGTAGCTGTCCCTTCCTTCTCCCTCTCTCACACTGATCAGTACTGAGAACAGAGTTAACAAGGACTGGGGAAAAAAACAGGTGTAAAAAAGGCAGCAAAATTTGACTAGTGACTGAAGAGTTACCAAGGGCTTTCACAATAAAGTGACAGATGAAAGTCATTGGTAATAAAGTAATACATACAGGAAAACAATCCCTATTATACATACAAAACCATGAGATTTAAATTTGCTGCTGCTGCCACCACTCAAGTCATTGTGGCTGCATCTCAAACTATCACTAAGTCCAGCGGCAGTTAAAAAAAAGCTAACACACCATAATCACCAGGGCTTGACAAATGGCGGCAAAAGCTGCTCGCCAGTCCCACACTGTGCATGCGCAAGAGCCTCATTGCGCATGCATGTGCCGCCGATAAACAGGGCGCGCGGTTGAAATCTACTCGCCACAGGCGAGTAGATTCTATAGTTTCTCAAGCCCTGATAATCACTATATAAATCCATGGCGTGATAGGGCATTCCATATTCTTTACATGAATATCCTTACAAGTATGACATCTCTCACGTATTCCAGTTAATGTCAGGAAGGTTACCATCTATGAATGATTATTCCCATGTTTCATTTGTACGCCTGTATCATTCCTGTATTTGAAGTTAGGCTAAATCTACACTTAAATGTTAAGAGTACGTCTACACAGTAGTGTTATTTCAGAACAACGTTACAAATGTGTGTTTATACTTCAGGTCTTTATTCCAAAATCATGTCAAGCTGAAGGACTTCTTACTCCTTGTGAAATGAGGGTAACCGGGAATCTGAGTAAGGGAAGTCGAAGGAAGAGTGTTCTTCCTTCTAGTTCCTGCTGTAGAGACAGCACCAGAAGTTGAATTAAGCTATTTCAACTTCAGCTGCACAATTGACATAGCTGAAGCTGGGTAGCTTAATTAGACTTTATCCTGGCTATGTAGATGTACCCTAAAAGGCTACCAAAGTAGCACTTTAAAGTAAGAATACAGCCACAGCAGCAGCCCTGGGAGAAAGCTTTCCCAGCACATTATGTAAACCACCTAAACAGGCATAGCCCCAAGCATGGGAGCCTGTTTACACTGGCTCTTTACAGCATTGTAACTTGATGTGCTTAAGGGGGTGGTTTTTCACAGCCCTAAGTGAGAAAGTTGCAGCACAGTAAAGCAGCAGTTGAGACAGGTTTATACTTCATGTGTTACTCATGTAGTCATGCTGAGGGCCAGGGAAAGTTGGACAGAGGAAAGGTTAAGACTGACAAAAGGATCCCTACCTTGTGCAAAACCTATTTAAGGATAGGGAGTGAGGTAAACATGGTTGTCAGTTCTCCCTGACTACCCTATCCAAGATGACTGCTAAGGACAACTAAGATTGGAGGAAAGATTGGGCCCAGACTTGAAGGCTTTCCAGGTTGTGAAAGTTTATTAGAACAACTTGGAGAGCAAAGTGTTACATACAACTAGTTTGAGTATATTAAGCTTAGATTGAGTGTTCTGGTTTCTGTTTTTGCTTAGTAACCAACCATCATTGTTCTGTGTACTCTTATGCAGGAGCAGCTCGAGGAGAGCTGCTGCCAACTGGCGCCGTAGGCAGAATGCACGATCGGCGCCCCTGCCTCCATAGCCCTCAATGGCGTGACGTCATCAACTGCCGAGGTTGCCTACATCCACGGGTCGCCCCTGTCCTTATGACCAGGGCTCGACAAATAATACAATCTACTCGCCCGTGGTGAGTAGACTAACCCGGAAGAGCCGGGTTCGGGCGATCTGCACAGATCGCCAGACAGCACAGCTGGTGAGCAGGGCTCGCCACGGTTCGGCGAGCCCTGCTTATGACCATTTAAATCTTACTTTTTATACTTCATAAAATCATGTTTATTAAACTCAGTGTAAATTATTACCAGGAGGGGAGTCTGTGCATCCATCTCTTTACATTGAGAAAGTTTCATCAGCTTATACTGTACAGAGCTCTATACAACACAAGACATTTATCTATGGTTCAGTTCCCAGAGGCCATGTACCTGAGAACTGCTGTTTTTAGTTAAGGTCTGCAGCTTTGGCAGCATGTCCTGGACCCTGTGTCTGTGCTGCAGAAGGCTAGTGTGTCTGACTCAGTAAAACAGGGAACTGGGGGCTTAAGAGGGCAAGAAAAACAGGCTCAGTAGGGGGGAGTTTGACCTAGTCAGGAGCAGCCTGAGGCCAGCTGTGGCAGCTAGCGCCCCAGGCGGAACACGTGATAAGTGCCCCCGCCTGCACGGCCATCAATGGCCATGACATCATCGGGCACACCAGGCGACCACGGAGTCTGCCTATGCTCATGGGACGCCCTGGACCTAGCACACATGCTACACTCACACCTTGCATATTGTTGCGGTTCTGATTGCCCCATCTCAAAGAAAATATAGAAAAAGCAACAAAAATGGTTACAGATATGGGACAGATTTCATACAAGATTAAAAAGCCTGGGACTATTCAGCTTGAAAAAGACACCTAAGTGGGGATATATGATAGAAGTCTGTAAAATCATGAACAGTGCGGAGGAAGTATTATTTACCCTTCACATAACACAAGAACCAAGGGTCACCTGATGAAGTTAATAGGCAGATTTAAAATAAACCAAAGGAGGTACTTGTTCATATAAAACCAAGTCAATTTGTGTAAATTGTTGAGAAGGCTAAAAAGTAACTGAATTCTTGTTTGAACCTAAAAAGTTGATGGTGGATAGGTCAATCTGTGGTTATTACCCATGATTGTTAGCGATACAGCTCCACGCCCTGGATGTCCCTAAGCCTGACCATCAGATGCTGGGACTGTACGACAGGGTACGAATCATTTGATAATTGGTCTGTTCTGTTTGTTTCCTTTGAGGCATCTGCAATTAGCTGCTGTCAGACAGGATACTGGGTGAGATGATATGACCCAGTATAGACATTATGTCTGACAGCACATTTAATTGAGATATTAATTGACCAAGATCACAAGAGCTGGGTCTCCTTGCAGGTAGTCCCATAATCCAGACAGAGAAGTTTGCATGATCAAAAGTTGTGGAAGACAAAAATAGTTAGTAACTAGACAAAAATAGTAAGTAGTAACTAGTCATGTTAAGTAAAAAACAATATTGCAAACAGCATCACTGTGAGCGGAAAATATGGGCACATCTTTAGAACCAGCATTGTTAGTAGGGATTTAAGTAACTAGTTGCTCCCCTCCCCCCCCCAGCAGTCAAGATCACAAAGACAGCGAGGGGAAGAGAAAGGGGCCCCCCCCCCCCCCAGCTCCATGGAAGGGGGCAGGGGTGCAGCAGCAGCATTTCAATCTTTGAAATGTACAAGAACCCCAGCAGAGGCTCTTGTGGATTTCAAAGACTGAAATGCCTGGTGGAGCCTGGGGCCAGCAGAGAGTTCCCCGCTAAGCCCATGCTGACTTCAGGCTCCAGGCGGGCGCTGCCGATTTGAAAGGCTGCTGGAGCCCAGGGCCAGCGGAGATTCCAATCTTTGAAATTCACAAGAGCCCCTGCTGGAGATCTTGTACATTTAAAAGGCGGAATGCTGGAGCACTTCCACCTTTGAAATGTAGCAACAGCCGGGCAGGCTCTTGCTACATTTCAAAGCAGAAGAGCTCTTATCAACTAGTCGATGGAAATTCTATCAACTATTCAATTAGTTGATTAATTTTAACATTCCTAATTGTTAGCCACAAACTAAAGGCAATTTGCATGTGCAGCTTTGGATCCACGTAAATATAGTAATTGTATAAGTGATTTGAAAAAAAAACTCAAATAGTTTGTTTAAGAACAAATACCTTACTGAGATAGCTGAGGTGCTATAAACAGCACCAGTTATTTTCAGACAGTCTGCAAGGCAGAGTCTGTTTTGGGTGTACTTACCTGAATATAAGCTACAGGCATTTTAAACTAGAGTGAAAGCTAGTATTCACAAGTGTCTCCAGTGAGTCAGATCCTGTGATCAGTTGATCCCATTGATGAATAGGTCTTTCCCCTTGAATTTATATTCTATAAAAAGCTTTTTCAGTTGGCTTCTTTAAAATATAATCCATTTGGGAAGACCTAGGTTATTTTACATCATATTTGAATAAGTTAATAGGAATGTTAGATAGCATGTAACTGAATATTCATGTAATCACATCAAATATTATTGGTCACAAGACTATCTGATAGTCCCCGGGGAGGGGCGGGGGGGCCACGGGAGAAGACAGCCACTGCACTCCCAGCGAGTTCCCTGCCATCTATCAGAGGCAGCAGCGCAGGGTGACTTTAAAAACCAGCTCCCCATGCAGACCCGTTCTGCCTGCTGACCTGATACAGAGGCGGCAGCAGCAGCTGTCTACAGAGAGCTCCCACACATTCCCTGCAGACAGGGGCTGCTGCCACGGAGCAGCTTCCCCCTCCCCACACTGCTGCCTCTGACTGAAGCAGCAGCGCGGGAGGTGGGGCACCCATGTGCAAGCGGGTCCAAGGCAGCAATGCAGAGGTGGGGGCAGCAGGCAAATCTGGTTCTACTGGGGAGCTGGCTCCCCACAGGCACCAGCATCCCGTGCTCACCTCTGTATCAGAGGCAGCAAGAGGAGGAGGGGGAATGCACATAGTCAACAGGATTAACTGATAAGACCAGGCTTATTGGTTACCATGTCTACACATCAACATCCCTAGAATTTAATTATACAATTTCCACTCAGATTTTACTTGAGTCTGGTACTTGTTTCCCATCACTTTTAAAGAGAGGTAAGAAAAAGTTGAGCATTTACTCATATTAAAACATGAAGTGTTTTGAGTTACTGCCACCAAGAGCCTATCAGGTTTCCCCTTATATTCTGAGATTTTCATCAAGTGACACTACATTATCACTGACTAATAGTGACTATTGCTAGAGGTACTAATACCACTGTATTTCTTTCTTTATATTTTAAGACTGTATTGCAATGGAGACTTAATATACTTACCTTAGATTTTAGTTTTTTGTTTTCTTCCAGCACTGCTTCATATTTTTCTTTCATCTCTGCCACTTCCAGACGAAGGGCCTCTATTTCTGGATTTTCTGGAGCAGCAGCTCCTATATGATGCTTCAGAAAGCTAGTAAAAAGTTAAGTGTTTCTAGGCTATGAAATGGTAATTTAGTCAAATTCAGGCTACAATACTGACAGTTTTGCAGCATTAAGGTAATTTACCCAATACTGTTGTGTCATGTTAATTATAATTTAGCAATAAAATGCAAGTACATTTATTTAGTGCATTTCAGCCTGCAAAGTCTCCAAATACTTTAGAAAAGGATAGAAATGTAGCCGTGTTAGTCTGGGGTAGCTGAAGCAAAATGCAGGACAATGTAGCACTTTAAAGACTAACAAGATGGTTTATCAGATGATGAGCTTTCGTGGGCCAGACCCACTTCCTCAGATCAAATAGTGGAAGAAAATAGTCACAACCATATATACCAAAGGATACAATTAAAAAAAATGAACACATGAACACATGAAAAGGACAATGTGTTCATTTTTTTAATTGTATCCTTTGGTATATATGGTTGTGACTATTTTCTTCCACTATTTGATCTGAGGAAGTGGGTCTGGCCCACGAAAGCTCATCATCTGATAAACCATCTTGTTAGTCTTTCAAGTGCTACATTGTCCTGCATTTTGCTTCAGCTACCCCAGACTAACACGGCTACATTTCTATAGTTGTGTAGTAAGCCCTCAATTCACTGAGGCAAGAAGTCAAAGCCTAGCAGGATTAAGACAAACTAGAGTTGTCAGCACTACACTCTAGTCGTTAGGTAAAATACAGTGTTCCAAACTATGCAGTGAACCACAGGAATTCCTATGCAAAACCACCTATAAAAATGCTTAATACAGATGCAAGTCTTCTATTAAGCATCAGCCACTGCCAAAAACAAATACCACCAGGTTAGATGAGCCAAAAGCATCAGGCTGTTGGTAGTAAGTACTTCATCATGCAAGAGTTAAATTTCCAGTTCTCTATTTTATTTGGCTGACTGAGTGCTAATTCCCTAAAGCTTTTACTGTTTTTATATTATATATAATCTCTGTCTGCAAGCCCGTTTGTTCAAGGACTCCTCATAAATGATGTTATTAGCTAGGGCCACCAAACTTGGTATGTAGCCTCCTCTTCTCCTAACTTAAAGCAAGGTCAGGGTGTGGCTGTGCCAAGACAACTGGCAGTCTCAGGAAAGGACAGTTTTCCATAATATGCTATGGGAAGAATGCAATACAGAGTGGCCACTAGGGGCAGCAAGCTTGCAGAGGAAGAGTTATCCGGAAGCATATCCATTGGGAGCAGCTGTACCACCAAGGGAGCAGCCAGCATGGGCAAGTATCCTCCTTGCCCTAACCACCTCCTCCCTTTGGCCACAGCACCAATGGGGGTAGGGGAGGAAGGGAATCAGAAAAATGCCACTGCCAGATGGAATCCCTTCCCTAAGCCCCTCTTGATTCCCCCAAACCTCACTCTTACACCTCCCTGCCCCATGCACTCCCCCTTTCCCCACCCCCACCCCCCCATAACCAGCCCCTGCCCTAAAGGATCCAGGCAACACCAGATAAGTCTACTAATATTAAATAAGTAAAAATATTTTGTTTACTTATAATTTGGAGACAAACTAGTATCCTTCTTGGACTAGGCTTCCATCTTTTGCCTCATCAATTCACAGGAAGAAAAAGGATACTCCAGTGCACTATTTGGTTTCTCTGGCTCTTCATAAAGGGCTACCAACACTGTAAGTAAAAAACATCCAACAGATGAAAGCAGAAACTTTCTAAACAGTTCAATTTATGAAGCACGTGCCAATAGTCAAAGGTAATTTGAGATGTAAAAAGGATTGCTTTCAGATTCGTGAAACATCACCTTTAGAATAAACATTAAAACAAAGCTAGCTTGTATTACAGTCAAAAATTAGGACAATGAACAAATATTAATGATCATGCAGAGTACTATTATTAATGATCATGCAGAGTACTATTAAGATGCATGTGCATCCACATAAGCTTGATTGCAGTTATATAACTGGAATTATTCTGAATAAGCTTTTTTCCAACAATTCTTTAATGAACCATAAAGCTAAGTATTTGCAATAATTTCTGAAAACAAACATTACAAGAACAGTGCTTTCAAGCAGTTATGTTCTAAAAACTGATCTAAATTTTTTAGTAAGAGTTCCTGGACACACATTCTCTACCCACTGAAGTAGCTGCCCACAATCACATCTGTGACTTGTCTTATAATGAAGGTAATTTAAGGCTATGGCTACACTATAGCTTAAATACCCAACAACATAAGTTATGTTGCTCAGCGGAGTAAAATAGCCACCCCCATGAACAACACAACCACTTCAAAAACGGAAGTTATATGAGCAGAAGAGCTTTTGCAGATATAGCTACCACTGCTTGCAAGGGCTGGAGTAATTAAGCCAATAGGAGACCTCTTCCCTAGACCTCTCTAGCATAGACAAAGTAGGGATGTAATAGTGTAGTCAACCAATAATCAGAAGCTTATAGGTTAATGCTATAGACTACACACCTTTTCCTCCTCACCCCCTTGCCAGTATATTTTTTAGCAGGCTGGCCAGCAGCCCGGCTCAGTCCTGGCTTGCAACATGTCCAGGCCCTACCAACTGAGGTGGCTCTGCATTTAAAGTGTATTTGTACGCAGACAGGCAGCCAAGATCAGTTCCAGCTTGCGCTGGGTCCAAGATCTCAGAGACAGCAGCACAGGGTGATGGGCAGCCGATCCACGAGGGGAGATGATTTTTAAACTGGCTCCCCCCACAGACCAGTTCCTGCCTGGCACCCCACAGAGGCAGCAGCAGCACTCCTTGGGAGTCTAGTCGGATTGCACTAGCTGCTAGCATCACCTCTATGAACTATAGAATAGTTGACTAATAAATAAGAATTCATGAAGTTACTCAACTATTCAATTAACCAATATTTAACATCCCTAAACCAAAGCCAGGGTCTCCTTTAATGAGTTTGGAAACTCAGTATTCTTCTCCATCACCAGGCCACCTTTACACTAAGGAGGAGGAAGGAGGAGTTGGAGGTGGAAACAAATTCCACAACCTGCTGCTTTGCTTCTAGAGTTGAAGCAAGAATCCTAAATAGTGTCTCAGGATCGTAGCTTGCACTTACAGTACAACATTTGGCTTCATCACGTTGTGCTCATCTCCAGGTGCACTCAGTATTACATTGAATATGATACTCAACTTGTACTTTGAACCAAAGACAGCCATGTGGCACAAACTTTGAAATATTCATTTTTTACTGCTTTGTGGACTGAATCCTCAAGTAGGGGTATGACTTTTGGTGGAGGCTATAGCTGCTTCCCTCCTCCCCCTCCACTTGCTCCATTCAACCAGTTAACCAAATGTGATTTTACATCCCTATCCTCAAGTGAACTTGAGCCAGCATTATGTTATGTTCTCCAGTGGATTAATTCATTCTTCGATTTCTGGATTTAGATGAAGCCAAAATGAATATGGCTTGTGTGTAATTTATAGGCTGAGGAAGTGAATATTCATATAATTACAAGACTAAAAATACAGAGAAATATTTAATTGCCTCTAATTCTTTGTATATTGTTTGACTTCCTTAGATTGTAAGCTATACCTGTGAAGAAATTTTAAGATTTTCTATGTTTAGCCCAATGTCATCCCAATCCATATATGGGGATTTGGGTACTTCCACAACAGTTTATAGCCAGAGCTGATAGTTAAGACCTATACGTAAGGTTGCTTAATAACTTCCATTAAGACCCTGCTTGTAGTTCATTTTCCAGTTTGCCCATTTGGACTGAAATTTTATATACATGCCCATGCCTCATGTTGAAGTTTTTTTGAAAGTTGTACCCAACAGTTCAGCTGTTTCCAAGAACGAAATTAAGGCAAAAATTTTGTTTTGCCCATGCTAAAAATTCTTACACCTATTTGATTAAGAAGCTATATTGCCTCTGCACTTAGCAGTACGGATGGCCTTGCTGTTAAGAGGTATGCCTTTTGCAATCCCTACTACAACCCTGCCCAAATTATAGAGATTCAAGAAATTGCTCAGGAGAAGGAGTTATGCTTTGTTGGCTAAATTTTTCCAAATTCAATGTGCTCTAAGCCTGCTCCATCTCTGAGTTGAAGACGGATCAGGACTTTCCTTGCAATTTCTCCTCTTAATTGCTGGGTGCCACAAGCAGTGCTGAGCACAGGAATCAAGAGCAAAGAAACTCTTCTGTGCTCTCAACTCTGCCCTGCTACATCCAGGCAACACAAAACTGATATGACTGAACGCTATACATACATTAGAGGAATAAACAGGACTTCTGCCTCGTTGGGGAATCAAACAGAACTTTGCAGTGAATGAGCTGTTCTGTACAAGAACCCTGCCTCCTTTGATATAGAGTAGCGATGGGCAACCTAGTGAATGGGCCGACTTGAGCATCCCTCCATCTCAGTGGACCACAAGATTGTCATAAGCAGCAAGGTGGTCTCCTGGGATAGGGTAGTGGTAACTAACAGTTTGCTAACTGTACTTGTGTACCAAGAATTCGTGGGGTGCACCAACTGAACAACATCAGCACTTTGCCTGGATGCATAGGGAGAGCAGGGCTCGCTCAGTCAGTGTTGTGTGCAGTCAGCAGGCACCTCACTCCGGGTACCTTTGCTGGAGGTGCATGGTGCTTCAGTAATAGTAGGAGGACTACTCCACAGATGGAAGCCAGGGGAACGCCACACAAGCACAACGACAAGAGGTCTCGTGGGCCACCCACAGAACCCAGACAGGCGACAGGCTCCCCACCCCTGTTGCAGCGGCCCAACAGCGTGCAGCAAGTCAGGCAGAAGAAGGGAGTAAGTCTCAGGGTGCAGGATCTCCCGGAAGAACCGAATCGGATCCCTGCTTCTGCTGGGAGAGTCACTGGAGGGGAACGCCACACAAGCACAACGACAAGAGGTCTCGTGGGCCACCCACAGAACCCAGACAGGCGACAGGCTCCCCACCCCTGTTGCAGCGGCCCAACAGCGTGCAGCAAGTCAGGCAGAAGAAGGGAGTAAGTCTCAGGGTGCAGGATCTCCCGGAAGAACCGAATCGGATCCCTGCTTCTGCTGGGAGAGTCACTGGAGCCCCAACTCCCCGGGGGGGGGGGGGGTGGGGCCGGGGGCCCCG